TGTTAGAAGAAGTAAAACAACTGTAGAACTGATTTTGTGCAAGTATAGGAACTAATTCTGCCTCTTGTTCACCATCCTTGCACCACTTAGAAGAAGGCATCCATAATCACAACCTGATAACAAGCACATGTAGGTCTGCTTTTAGAACTCTATCAGAACTAGACAGACATATTAAAATTTCTACAACTGTACTTAGAAGTACCTGTCATATATAAATAGCCTTTGTTTTGTTATAATCTCTTATTAATTTTATTTAGAGGTATTTAAGTACTTCAAATACCAGCAATTCAATTACTGTTTTATTTTACAGCATTCTAATCATCTTAACATGAAAATAGTACCTGCCACTTACAGACATTAAAGGTCATAGATTTCAGTATGCCATTATGACAAATCACCCATGCATTCAGATGTTCAAAAATTGTCACTGACAACAGACATTGCAAGAATAAAGATGTCACTTAATTGTCTGAGGAATCATAGTAATTTAATGCTAGGAAAAAACTACTACAAAGTACACCTGCAATTTTGTAATCAACCTTAATTCAAATCCAACATCCTGAAATCTAGACAAAAAGATTTCTTCAGAGATCACCACTTGTCATTCACACATCTGCATCAAACTCCAGAAAAAGAACTTGAGCAAAAGCTGTGGATTCTGTATTTAGCAACACTGCATTTCAGCTTATAAAAAATAAGGAAAGAAAGCAAGCCTACCAAAAGCCTCTGTGTAATCTCAGTTTTCAGGGAATCATGCAAATTGAACTGTAAAACAAACACTACCACGAACAACTGCGTAATGAATGAAAAATAAATTTAAAGAAATAAGCACAATGTTTAAAAATACATCAAATAAAACCTCCAAACAGATACAGCAAGGATAGACAAATTTTTTTCTTATTAAAAAAAACAGCAATGAAAAAAGACAAACAGTAAGCAGCTTACACTTAAACAGAACAGGCATATTATGATGTACTGGATTATTTAGGTAAAAATATCCATCTAGCAATTCTGTATACCTGCCAGCATTTCTTAGTAGCAGCATTTGAGCTAGAAGGCACTGTGCCTGGTAAACTCATACGTACCACCTCTCAAGAAACACTTTTCCCCCACTCTTTATTATCCTACTCAAATATTAAGTATTTGTTGGGTGTGTTCCAAGAAAAGCAATTCTACCTCTGATTACATACTAGTATTTCACTTTCTTTTTATGTTGCCCTAAGTAGCTGACTAATGACAGAGAATTTTTTATGACATCAACTATCACAGAGTCATCACTATCCCCAGATTTACCCAGAAGCAACAACCTAGTGTAACATTTCTACCATATGAGAAGCCTGTGTTATTCACAAGTCTGCAATATAGTACTTATTTTTAAATCTATCTTAAAAAAACCCCAAACTTCAAACAATATATATCACTAGGGATTTCTAATTTTTTTTCGATACAATACTTCTTCCACTCTACTTTCAAAGAATAAAATCAGCCTGTAAACTCAAATCTGAATGACCTGGTTCAAAACCTGATTATCCCATGGGGGAAAAAAAAGTTACACTGTTCATCTGATCTCAAAGACTACACTGAATTTTCAAAGTAGCCCAATTTTAAAAAAAAAAAAAAAAAGGCAGCCTAGTTCCACCATGGTTTGAAAACTTTTATTTACAGTAGCGAAGACTATAGCTGAAAGACACGTTTGCTGCAATTAAGTGTGCTCAGAACATAACTTTTTAAGTAGATTTTATGGGTGTCCCTCAGGCAGTTTACATATTTCATTCTGATTGTAAAAAGCTGCTTCATGTTCAGTCTGCCTAACAATTGCAGTAATTTCACGTGGTCAAGTTATTGATGGAATTTAGATTTGGATGAAAAGATTTAGAAATTTAGCATGGATGAATAAATGATTAGACTCTCCTTAATTCAAGTCTTAGGCACAGTAAGGGTTACACTATTTTTCTGCATGCCTTTTTACTTTTACTCCTCCGCCTCCTTGCATCTTTTCCCCAAACTCTACCCATACTGTTTAAACATAACTCTGTACACAACATAAAATTAGCATTATACTCTGCTATACCTTCAGTCCAAGTTTTGGGGGTAATGGCAGCTGTATGTCCAGGCATCCCTGGAGCAGGCCCTGGTCCAGTTGCAGCACCGCTCATTGTATGTAACCCAATACCTGCAATTTGACAGAGGAAAGGAGCTTACTAAGATACAAAGCATTTCCAAATATTCAAGAATCATTCTGCTTTCTGGAATGCTAGTCTATTCAGGCAAGTACTATTTGTCTTCATTAAATATGGACTTAAGTAGATTTTATTGTGAAACAACATATGTAATGAAGCATATTAAAATAATGTCCCCTAAAAAAAAAACCTTCCTTGGTAGCAAAGCCATATCCACTAAAATCAAGCGACCAGCGAAATTATTAAAATCATTACTAAAAAGAAAATAGTATAATTTTAAACCTCAATTTCTAATGCAAACTCAGTAGTAGAAGTATTTAGAAACTAAAAGGTGCAGGGTGTTTAATGTGTTTTACTTTTTTCTTCTTTTTTTTTAAATTTTTTTCTTTTCTTTATCTTTTTCACTTGGCAGCATACTAGTCATGGTTTGTTTTACTTTCAATAACGTAAATAATCAGTCAACTTTTCTGCGTAGTGACAGGAGACTGAAAATTCACTCTAAGAAAAACAATAAAATTGCAATCAGTAAAGTATGATCAACATGCAAAACATGTCAAGCCTAGTTAGGATGGACACAGTACTGCACAGTGAAATCACCTGTATTTCATTACATTTTTTTTACAATTTTCTATTAATAACAGCCAGAATACAGTCCCAAATTATAGCCCTGCACAGCACCTGTTTCTTAATTTTCCACAGGTTGAACTTCCACAAATTACCTGCACAATGACATAAGGCCTAGATTCACTTACCAGACTGTCTGTTGAAGGCACTAGGAGGCTGCTGCTGTTGAATGCCAGGCAGGGTCCTCTTGCCCTGAACAGCAAGCTGGAGGTTTTCTGGTAAAGGCTGACCTCTAGCTAACATTTTGTATGCTAGAATCTGAGCCCGCAACTGATGCAGCTGTACAGGGCTGAAAGGGGAAGGACCTCTGTTAGGTTGATTCATAACTTGTGGGTCTCCTGGTATAATGGGTCCTGGCTGGCTGGGAGTCATCTGGGGTGGAGTTGGACCTCCTCCGGACATTGGACTGGACACATGCTCTGGTGCTCCTAGTGGAGATGGGTGTGGAGACATATAACCTAAAACAGGTAAGAGGATCACAAACTTACCTCTGGTTAGTCAAATCTAAATTCCATCAAATTTCTTTAACAGTACACAGAAAATAAAAATGCCTCTCTCAAGTCAGGATGGCTGTAGTATTTTCTGCAAGAACAACCTGAAGTTCCCTGGGATATCAAGATAGACTCATGAGCTATTCTTTGAGAAGAACTATGATAATATATGAGCTATTCTTTGACAAGAACTATGATTATATAGTCCAATAATTCCTAAAAATAACAATTACCCTCACATTTGGAGTAACACAAACATGAAATACAATACAGGAAAATCACGATGTGGTACTGTTCCACTAGCATGTATCATTGTGGAACACATGCAGTGAAGTCTGCCTATTTTACAGCTTAATATTATAAGTTTATTTTGATGCACAAACACCAAGGAATACCCATTCACTGATACTGGTCCTCTTTGCCAAAACTCGGCAACATACAGAAATAGAAACAGATGGTATTCAATTCCTATACAATTGCTCTTTATACTGATTAAAGGTTTGAGCAAGACAAAGAAAGTTCAATACCTTTACTATCTGGGTGCTGAAGAACTTGGAACATCAACTCCAAGCACAAAAATCACCTTCCGAACAAGGTGCTGAAGAATGTGTTCGTCTATACCAGGACAGCAAGAAGAGTTCTGAAGCGAACAGTGCTTATATCTTATTATATTCACTTTGTGAATGCAGTGGTTTTAAATTTGAATTTTAACTAAACTTAATACATATTTCTGTAAGCTTCACAACGCATCCATGAAAAGAGATGGCATAGATTTTTGGTGAGATTTCCAAGCATATGTAACAAGTCAGAGAAAAAATATGAAGAGCAATCCTTCAGGTAATGCACAAGACAGCTACATTTTAAAGAAGTCCACCAAGAGAAAAAAGAGGTGTCAGTATTTACCCACTTCACTCTGGTATTGTGGAACACAAATAATGTTCTTATCAATGCCTAAAAACTGCCTTAAAATAAAAAAACCAAGAAAACTTCTGGCCCACTTCCACATTCCTTAGCAAGCCACAGAACACTGAACTCCAAAGTTCATGCAACAGTTCATGGTTCTGTGACACCAAATCTACTCTTATCATAGAATGCTTTGAGCTGGAAGAGACCTTTAAAGATCACCTAGTTTGACCCCCCGCAATACGCAGGGACACCTTCCACTGGATCAGGTTGCCCAAAGTCCCATCCCACCTGGCCTTGAAGACTTCCAGGGATGGGGCATCCACAACTTCTTTGGGCAACCTGTTCCACTGTCTCACCACCCTCATTGTGAAAAATGTCTTCCTTAGATCTTGTCTAAATCTACCCTCCTTTAGTTTAAAACCATCAGCCCTTGTCCTATCACAAAAAGCCCTGCTAAAGAGTCTGTCCCCATCTTTCTTATAAGCCCCCTTTAAGTACTGGAAGGCTGCAGTAAGGTCTTCCAGAAACGTTCTCTTCTCCAAGCTGAACAACCTCAACTCTCTCAGCCTGCCCTCACAGGAGAGGCGTTCCAGCCCTCTGATCTTTTTTTGTGGCCCTCCTCTGGACCTCCTCCAACACGTCCATGTCTTTCCTGGGCTGAGGGCTCCAAAGCTCGATGCAGTACTCCAGGTAGAGTTTATCACTTAATCTCTTATTTATTTCAGACCCAGAATCTTGAAATCCACCTGGTCTATAAACAGTGGGGTCTCACCAGAGATGAGTAGAGGGACAGAATCCCTCGACCTGCTGGCCACACTTCTGATGCAGCCCAGGATACTGTTGGCCGCCTGGGCTGAGAGAGCACACTGACAGGTCCTGTTGAGCTTCTTATCAATCAACACCCCTGAGACCTTCTCCTCAGAGCTGCTCTGAATCCATTCTCTGCCCAGCCTGTATCTGTGCTTGGGATTGCCCTGACCCACGTGCAAGACCTTGTACTTGTCCTTGCTGAACTCTTCCTCCACTCTTCCTGACACTTTAAAGTGAAACTACATCAATTTCATCTATACAGAGTCTACATCACAGAAGCAAGTAATTCTGCCTTCTCTTTAGCTTCACTGTTCTTATTTGCCTCTCAGTATCACAGAACCATTAAGATTGGAAAAGACCTTTAAGATGATCAAGTCTAACCATTAACCCAACACCACCATGCCCACTAAACCATGTCCCAAAGTGACACATCCACACGTTTTTTGAACACTTCCAGAGATGGTGACTCCACCACCTCCTTGGGCAGCCTGTTCCAACCTTTGACCACTCTCTCCATAAATAATTTTTTCCTAATATCTTATCTAAACATCCCCTGGTGCAACTTGAGGCCATTTCCTCTCATCCTATCACTGGTTAGTTGGGAGAAGAGACCAACACCCACCTCACCACAACCCCCTTTCGGGTAGTTGTAGAGAGCGATAAGGTCTCCCCCTCAGCCTCCTCTTCCCCAGACTGAACAACCCCAGTTCCCTCAGCCGCTCCACACCCCCGCGTTTTTTGAACACTTCCAGAGATGGTGACTCCCCCCCCTCCTTGGGCAGCCTGTTCCAACCTTTGACCACTCTCTCCATAAATAATTTTTTCCTAATATCTTATCTAAACATCCCCTGGTGCAACTTGAGGCC